ACATTCTGGAGATCTCTTCCATTCCATTGATGTTCAGTCAGCAAGGATGTGAGTGTGTGAGGTTGGTTTAATGATCAATATTCAAAGTAGTCTGGGCCAATCACACAAAGGAAGATCAGACAGGGAGCAAGAGATGTTTATACTTGTGTATTTATGTGTAGGGTTTCAATCAGTTCCCGTTCAACACAGTGCACTGTCCTTGCAGTCCTGGAAATTTTCCCACACTCATCCTGTACCCTCACTTCTACATTCCCCTCTCTGGGCTTCTTACCTCTCCATGGCCTTTTCCAGAGGATTATTCCAAATATTGCAGCTATTACAATGACTATTCCAATCACAATTACAAGATGGAAATGTTCCACGCTGTTTTGTGGGATTTCTGAAATGAATAGGAATAATATCAGGATTATTGTTTTTCCCGGATCCAAGCCTAGTTTTGTGTGGATTGGGATAAATTTTAACTGAACCCACCCATTGGGATTTGATAGGATTGGTTCAAAAAATGGGTTGGCACTCACCCAATTTTACTCTCCAAATCCCATTGATGGGAGCGTTGCAGTAACTTCAACAGAGGATGGTATCCATCACCAAGTCACCCTTTATTTACACATGAACAGTCCTTGATGTTCGGATTGGATCGTTCAGGGTCAGGAAGCAGAGTTTCAGCATCTCTGAGACGCTCCTTTTTATTTGTCAGCCAGGGCTCCCTGATTGGGGCTGTTAATCTTGTTCAATCATGGAACTCATATTCTCTGAGGTCTCATTACAATCGCTGCTTCCCTCTGAGCCCAAGGACATTGGCCAGTCATTTGGCTCGGAGAGCTTCCTGGGGCATTTTAGCAATGGGTCAAGCTCCACCTTGTTTGACATCCAATATGGGCAGCCTCTAATGCACGGGGCCAATTTTGACTGTCTTAGATAGGAACTTTCAAAAGTTGATTGGGGAGGCTATTCACAGGTAAAGGGATAGCTGGGAAATCGGGGTCGGGGGGGGGGGTTCCTTTAAGAATCTGATAATGAGAGTCCAGAGGCAATATGTTCCTGTTCATGCGAAGGGCGAGGCTGCTAGGTGTAGGGAATGCTGGATGACCAGAGAAGTTAAGGTTCAGTTCAAGAAAAAAGAGGAGGTGTGTGTCAGGTATCGACAACAAGGATTCAGTGAATCCTTAGAAGAGTATAAGGACATCAGGAGTGTACTTCAGAGGGAAATCAGAAGAGCAAAAAAGGGACATGAGACAGCTTTGGCGAGTAGGGTTAAGGATAATCCAAAGAGATTCTGTCAGTAGATTAAGGGCAAGAGAGTAATTAGGGAGAGAATAAGGCACCTTAAAGAGCAAAGTGGCCGTCGATGTGTGGGACCACAGGAGATTGGTGAGATACTAAACGAATACTTTGTGTCAGTACTTACTGTGAAGGACATGGAAAATAGGGAACTTGGGGAAATAAATAGTGATGTCTTAAAAGCAGTCTATTATAGAAAAGGAGGTGATGGAGGTTTTAAAAGGCACAAAGGAAGATAAATCCCCAGGATCTGATCAGGTGTTACCCAGAACTTTGTGGGAAGCTCGATTACTCGGTGCCGAGCTTAAATTTTTGAATCATCAACAGCTATGGGTGAGGTGCCAGAAGACTGGAGGTTGGTTAATGTGGTGCCATTATTTAAGAAAGGCTGTAATGAAAAGCCAGGGAACTATAGACCAATGTGGGTATGTTGTTGGAGGGGATTCTGAGGGACAGGATTTACATGCATTTGGAAAGCAAGGACTGATTAGGAATAGTCAACATGGCTTTGTGTGTGGGGAATCATGTCTCACTAACTTGATTGAGTTTTTTTGAAGAGGTGACAAAGAAGACTGGTGGAGGCAGAGTGGTAGATATTGTCCATATGGACTTCAGCAAAGTGCTCAAGAAAGTTCTACATGATGGACAGGTTAATAAAGTTAGATCACGTGGGATCCAAGGGGAGCTCGCCAATTGAATATAAAAATTGGCTTGAAGGTGGGAGACAGAAGGTGGTGGTCGAGGGTTGCCTTTCAGACCGGAGGCCTGTGACCAGTGGTGTACTGCAAGGATTGGTGCGAGCTCCACTGCTTTTCATCATTTATGTAGATCAATTGCAGATATAGTCAGAAAAATGGAAGATGGAGTTTAATCTGGGTGAGTGTGAGGTGCTGCACTTTGGGAGATCAAACGTTAAGGAAAAGGATACAGTTAATGGCAGGACTCTGAACAGCATTGATGTACAGAAGGGTCTGGGGTTTAAGTCCATAGCTCCCTGAAAGTGGCTACACAAGTAGATAGGATGGGAAAAAAAGCATATGGTATGTTTGCCTTTATTGGTCGAGGACTTGAGTACAAGAGGCAGGATTTCATGTTGTAGATTGATATGACTTTGGTTCGGCCACAATTAGAGTATTGTGTTCAGTTCTGGTCACCACATTACAGGAAGGATGTCACATTTCCCACAACTCATCCCTCACACCCCGTCCACGCAATAAGAACCAAAAAAGAATCCCCCTCCTCCTCACGTACCACGCCACCAACCTCCGGATCCAACGCATCATCCTCCGACACTTCCGCCATCTGCAATCCGACCCCACCACCAAAGACATCTTTCCCTCCCCACTTTTATCTGCTTTCCGGAGGGACCACTCTCTCCGTGACTCCCTTGTCCGGTCCCACTCCCCTCCAGCCCCACCATACCCAGCACTTTTCCCTGCAACTGCAGGAAGTGCTACACCTGCCCCCATATCTCCTCCCTCAACCCCATCCCAGGCGCCAAGAAGACTTTCCACATCAAGCAGATGTTCACCTACACATCTGCCAATGTGGTATACTGCATCCGCTGTACCCGTTGTGGCCTCCTCTACATCAGGGAAACCAACCGGAGGCTCGGGGACTGCTTTGCAGAACACCTACGCTCGGTTTGCAATAAACAACTGCAACTCCCAGTCGCGAACCATTTCAACTCCCCCTCCCATTCCTCAGACAACATGTCCATCCTGGGCCTCCTGCAGTGCCACAACGATGCCACCCGAAGGTTGCAGGAACAGCAACTCATATTCCGCTTGGGAACCCTGCAGCCCAATGGTATCAAAGTGGATTTCACAAGCTTCAAAATCTCCCCTCCCCCTACCGCATTCCAAAACCAGCCCAGCTCGTCCCCGCCTCCCTAACCTGTTCTTCCTCCCACCTATCCCCTCCTCCCACCTCAAGCCGCACCCCCATCTTCTACCTACTAACCTCATCCCGCCCCCTTGACCTGTCCGTCCTCCCTGGACTGACCTCTCCCCTCCCTAACTCCCCACCTGCACTCACTTTTACTGGCTCCATCCCCGCCTCTTCCACCTGTTTGTTTCCTCTCCACCTATCCTCTCCTCTATGCATCTTCTACCCGCCTCCCACTCTCTCCCTATTTATTTCAGAACCCCCTTCCCCTCCCCCATTTCTGATGAAGGGTCTAAGCCCGAAACGTCAGCCTTTCTGCTCCTATGATGCTGCTGAGCCTGCTGTGTTCATCCAGCTCTGCACCTCGTTGTCACAGGAAGGATGTTGCCTGGTTTGGAGGGAATGAACTATAAGGAGAGGCTAGAAAAACACGGGCTGTTTTCTCCTGAGCAGTGGAGGCTGAGAGCAGACTTGATAAAAAGCTATAACATTGTCAGATATATAGATAGGGTAGATGGTCAGAATCTTGTTCCCAGAGTTGAAATGTCTAATACTAGGGGTTGTGCATTTGAGGTGAGAGGGGGAAAAGTTCAAAGAAGATGTGAGGGGCAAGTTTTTTACACAGATACTTGTAGGAGTCTTGAACATACTGCCAGGGTTGTTATTTGAGGAAGATACGATAAGGGCATTTAAGGGAAATTTAGAAAAGCACATGGAGTGATATGGACCAAGGACAGGATTAGTTTCATTTGGCAACATGTTTGGCACAACATCGTGGTCGGAAGGCCCCACTCCTATGTTCTATGTTCTATATAAATGATTTGGATGTGATATAGGAGGCACAGTTAGTAGGTTTGCAGATGATACCAAAATCGCCAAATGACAGTGAAGAAGATTATCTTGGAGTACAATGAGACCTTGATCAGATGGGCCAATGTGCCAGGGACTGGCAGATGGAGTTTGAGATAAATGTGATGTGTTGTATTTTGATAAGGCAAACTGGGGCAGAACTTAGAGTGACAGTTAATGGTAGGGCCCTATGGAGTAATGCCAAACAAAGAGACATTGGGGTGGAGGAGCACGGTTCCTTTAAAGTGGATTTGCAGGCAGAAAGAATGGTGAAGAATGGGTTTGGCACACTTGCCTTCATCGAGTACAGGAGCTGGGACATCATGTTTCGGCTGTACAGGGCATTGGTGAGGCCACTTTTAGAATTCAACATATAATTCTGGACCCCTGCTATAGGAAAGAGGCTGTGAAGCTTGAGAGAGTGCAGAAAAGATGTCCAAGGATATTGCCAGGATGGAGGGCTTGAGTTATTGGGAGATTCTGAATAGGCTGGGGTTGTTTTCCCTTGAGCTTTGGAGACTGAGGTGTGACCTTATAGTGGTTTATCAAATCATGAGGGGCATTGATAGTGTGAAAAGCCAAGGTCTTTTTCCTGCGATTGAGGACTCAAAAACTAGAGGGCACAGGTTTATGGTAAGATGGGAAAGAATTAAAAAGGACCTGAGGGGTAACTTTGTCATGCAGAGGTTGGTCAATGCGTGGAATGAGCTGCCAACGGAAGTGGTAGAGGTGGGTACAATTACAACATTTGAAAGGCATCCAGATGAGTACGTAGATAGAAAGGCTTCAGAGGGATATGTACCAAATGCTGTAAATGGGACTAGGTCAGATTGGATGATCTGGAAGATGCGCTGAGCAAGATCAAAGGTGCCCTGGCAGCTACTTTGAGTGGATATCTACAATGACTAAAAACGTTGAGCCCATGAAAGCACCTGCATAGTCAATGCGTAACCAAGTCCAAGGTTTACCCGAACATTCCCTTGAATGTGAGGGCGCTGATGGTGGTAATTTTTGTCCTTGTTGGCACTTTGGGCACTGCCCCACCAACATGGCTCTGTCTGCATCCAGGCCTGGCCACCAGACATAAATTCTCAACAAAACATCCTCATTTTGGAAACCCCTGGTGGATTTCAGCCTGTATTGGCAGCTGCATTGGCTCAGGACAACATGCCATCCTCTGCTGAGAGTTGGTCTCTCCAGGTTCAATTCAAAGGATTTCAAAGGCTCTTTGGTTTCCCCTATCAATGCCAGTTGCTTCAGTTTTGAATGAACTGGATCTTTCTGTGTCCGAAGTCTGACATTGTCAGCTCTGATTGGGAGCATGTCCAGAAAATAAACACCATTACAGACTCTTCCATTGGGCATACGACTGGTGGTGTATTTGCTAATGTTAGGCAGCTCAATGCATCCACATTTGCTACTCAACCCCCTGGAATGTGTTCTAACTTATAATTATAAGCGCTTAGTGTTCAAAAACACCACTGAATGTAGCCCGAAACTATAGTTGGCACTGCCTTGTCCTCTTTAAGCACACCAAGTAGGGGTTTGTGTTCCGCGATTATCTCAAATTTTCATACATAAAGGTATTAGTAGACTTCCAGACTCTATATATGACTGTCAATCCATCTTTCTCTGTCTGGGTTTATTTACGCTCTGTGTTAGCCAAAGTCCTGGGTGTATGTGCCCTTGGGCACTGCTCTCCATTGGGCCACCATGAGCTAATATGACTCCAATGCCATGTGAGGAGGCATTGCATGTCAATGAATGCGAGATCTTTCTTGGCATCATAGCGTACCGATCCTTGGAGGATGATAGTTGTTTCTTCACTTCATTGAAAGCTCCAGTTTATTTTTGCAACCATTTCCAAGGCTGACACTTTTTTTGCAAAAGGAGTTGATTTAATGGTGTCAGGATGGAGGAGAGGTTATGTACGAACTTTCTAAAATAATTTGCCAGTCCGAGATATGACCTAAGGTCCTGGACAGGCATAGATGCCAGGGCACCTTTGATCTTGCTCACTTTATCTTCCAACAGTTATAACCCAGTCTTGTTGACTTTGCAGCCCACGTAGATCAGTTGGGGAAACTGGGACACACATTTTTTCCTTCTTAGGCATATGCCTGCCTTGGAAAAACATCTAAGGACTTTATCAAATTTCTTTGAGTTTTGCTTATATGTTTTCCCTGTTATTGGGTGATTGGCCATCTAAGTAAGTGGTGACCAGGGCTAGACTTTACAAAATGTTCTCGATTGTCCACTGAAAAATTGAAATGGCTGACGATATCCCAAATGACAGTCTTGTATATTGGTACAATCCCCTCTGGGTATTCCTTGTAGCATGCTTCTGGGATGCTGGTCTCAACACTGGCAAGTAAGTGTGGCTCATGGCCAGGGTCATGAAGGGCAGCACCCCCACCCACCCCCACCAACCCCGCCAGCTTTGTGCACAAATCCTGAGGGGTTGGCTATTTCTCCAGCTGTCAAAAGTGGGTTGCACTTTGTTTAAAATCCCCACAAAGGTGAACCAACCCAATGGGCTTGAAAATCATTCCAATGACTGCTGCCCATTCTGCAGAATGGAATGGCTTGATAATTCCTTCACTTTCCAGCCTTACGATTTCTGCCTCTACTTTTGCCCACAAGGAAACTGGCACTGGGCAGGCCTCACAGAATCATGGAATTGATTCCTGGTCAACATGCAAGGTGGCTTGGCTCCTCTGATAACATCCAGATCTTCCTGGGAGACTTACAGGTATTTAATTAGTATTTCACTCAAGCAGCCATTTTCTAATTGAAAAATGTTGAGCCGATCCAGATGAATGTCTCGCAACTGATTTCACCCCATCAAGTTTGGGCCAGATTCCCAGTCTGGCCAAGGTCTTGTGCAAAGTTAAGGGTTGGATTCCAGAGTGAATCATATTCAAGACTGGTTCTGTGATCGCTGATACAGCTACACTGGTATCGACCTCCATCAGAACAGGATGGCCATTTTGCCAGACGTTTATCTTGATTGGTCCTGAACTTGATGTCACTAAGCAAATTAACTGTTCCAAACCAGATTTTCCAGGATACCCTCTTGGATACTGTTCTTCTGTTGTCTCAATTCCACATACTGACAGAAACTACAATGGCTTGCTGGCCAGGATCCTGAAGAAAATTCTAACTGTTTGCTGAGGCTTGGCTTGGTTGGGAATTTTATTGTGAGCCACCCTAGAGTCCTTCTGATCAGGATACGTCCTGAGTGAGGCTATGCTATTGTATTCCCCAACCTCAGTCAGACTTTTGAGGGTGTCCACTTTATATCGGAATACCCTGTAACTCATAAGCTCTACTTGCTGCATTTTCCAATGATAAAACCATTTCCAGGGCATGTTTGAAATCCAGTTGGTCTTCAGCCAGTCGGTGTTTATGTATAGTTACATCATTAATCCCACATACCATTCTCTAAGCATCTCATTAAGGGTTAAAATCAAATTCACACGCTTTTGTCAGCTGTCTTAACCGCATCAGAATTTCTGGATTCAGTTGGGTCTCGAATAGCCAAATGAAAACAATAGCATCTCAGGATTAGAGGAGACTTGGTGTCGTAATGTTCCTCAATTATGCTCTTCAATTCTTGAAGGGTTTTAGTATCTGGTTCCTCAGGGAAAGTTGGGATCCGAATAACAGAAATAGCTGCAGCTCTACAGGCTATCAGGAGAATTACTCATTGCTTTTCGTCTGCCACATTGTCAGTTGCACAGAAACGATGCCACATTATTTTCATAGACCATGCCCAATCCTCGACAGCAGGGTCAAATGTGTCAAGTTTCCCAAACATGGCTGTTCTGAGCAACTTTATTCAGGATCGTGCCTTACTCCTGTTGCCACTGAAACAATTCTACAGATGCTAGTAATCACTCACCAAGTCAGCCTTTATTTAAAGACAGTTCTTGACTTTAGTAGAGCATCTTTCAGAGTCTCAATATCTCTGACACTCACCCATTTTATATGTTAGTCAGGGCTACCTGACTGGATCAGGTTAACAAGCCCAATCAATGAATTCACATTCTATGTGTTCCAGCTGGCTGACCTTGTTACAAACACTACAGGTATTATCCGGCGCGGGAATCCAGGTCAACCTGGAACTATGTTCAAATTAGAGTGAGGTCATTTAGAAGTGAAATCAGGAAACTCTTCCTCACAAAATCGCGAGTGGAAATCTCACCAAAATGCTGTGAGCACTGAGGATCAATTGAATGTTTCCAGCTTGAGATCAGGAGGGTTTCATTGGGGAAGGGCAGCAAGAGACATAGAGGAGTAATGGGTAAAGGGAGTGAGGGACAGATCAGACAGGACCTCGCTGAACGGGGAGGAACAGACATGAGGGGGCGAAAGGCAAATTCTTGTTCCTCTCTTAAACACATGTATACACACTCACACACACTGACACACACACACTCACACACACTGACACACACACACTCACACACACTGACACACACTGACACACACACACTCACACACACTGACACACACACAATCCTTACCCCACTGATAGAACTTGGCCTCTGACAGGCTGCTGTGTTCAATTTGACAGGAATATTGATCCTCATCCCCAGGATTGATTTCAATCTCTTTCTGGATCTGATGGGTCCCATCGTGGTTTGGTCGAATCCCCGAGGATTGTGTCTCAGACATGACCTCTCCATTCCTTAGCCAGGTCACCTCGATGTCTACAGGATAAAATCCAGTGACTAGGCAGGAGAGAGTGAGCGGCTTGTCCTGATGATTGGGCTCACTCCTGGAGATGAACACTTCAGGCTGAACTGTGACGGGAAAGGGTGAAAACACAAACAATACACAGACACAGAATGGAATGGGACAGCGGTTTCATAGAGCAGTGTAATTAGATCAGAACATGGGATCAAAAACTGAAAGACATACCTTTCCTTTTGAAAAATCCCTTTGCTGCTTCTAGATATCTGTTTAAATGCTGAACAAGTACCTCTTCCAGATGTACTTTCCAGTAGTTGTTCCAGGATTTATCTGAATCCCATTTCTCTTTAGTCATCACTGCAATGTGATTGGATGCGATCCATTTCATTCTGTCTGGTTCTAAACTAATAAAATCCTTTCCATCAAATCCGAATCTCATCGATCTCTTAATGCTTCCATCATCACTGACCTCAACAGTAGTTATCCGTTGAAAAGTGTGAATTCCTGTCAGTAACCAAACCGGGATTAATAATCAATAATGAATCGATAATCACAAACTGAGAAATGGTCCGATCAAAGAGGATTGAGAGAGTGGTTACACATGGTGCTAATCCCCAGGAACTGAGTTGTCCGATATTCCAGATTCGGGTCACTGCCCCTTTCCCTAGTGACTGCTTCATGCCTCATAAATAAGCAAATGCCCGTTGAATCTGGGTCAGAATTTCCGTCTTCACATTCCCACTATCCTGGAGTGATAGTCCCAGTCTATGTGGTCAATCCTGAAGAAGGATCACTGAACCTGCAACAATTGACTCTACTTTTTCTGCACAGTTGCTGCCAGAACTGCTGAATTTCTCCAGCAATAGCTGTTTTCGCTCCATGTTGTTATTTGTTTAGGCCACAGGCAGCATTCTGGGGAATTTAGTCATGACCATCCTTGGCCACTCTGTCAGCCTCCCACAGTCACTGGCCCATGATAGGACTCCATGTGTTATTTACGAGGACACTCTGCCCAATGGGGCTGTGAAATCTTTTCCCCTGAGCTTCATGGAATGGAGATCAGGGTAAATCTCGAAGTTGTTTATGTGACGCTGCTGTGGCTTTAATCAGTGTATTTTGTCCTGGTTCTTTTAAGACAGAGATTGAACAAGAGATGCCAAGCAGTCTATGATAATGTAAACAGCTTGTCACACCTTGGGTTTTTTTTGTAGAAGGTGGAATTATAGAAGCTGGGTGGCCAGCTCTCACACACCAGGATTGCTAGTTTTATTCAGCTTTTAGACTTGAGAGTGATTGCTGGTGTTTTGAAGAAGTAGAAGCTATTCTTTCTCCTCTCTCAGTTACAGCTAGAAGATGGCGGCTTCCCTTCCTATTGCAGGCATTGCATGTGACAAAATCTAATTTCGGAATTTGCCCTTTTGCCAAGGAGTGTATTTATGGGATGTTAGTATATTTGAACATTTAATTAGTAATATTTATTGTATCCATTATTCTGCTAAGTTTTCCAGTAGTTAAGTTATTCTAAGTTCTTCATTCTTTTGTTGTATTTTAACTGTAGTGTTTGAATAAATTTTGTTCTGCATCACATTGAGTACTTTAACAACTTGACTTGCACCCGGAGCACACCGTGTTACTTTTGCATTTAAAATAAGAAAAAAGTGAGGGTCAAGGAAACCTTCATAAAATATTTCGAGGGGGTCTGATCTGGACCATCGCAAACTGGGGGCTTTTGTCTGGATCAAAACCTCTAATTCCACATTAGGTTCAAGGCAGGCAGTGGCAAGTGCGAGCGTCTTTTGTTTCGGGTGTTGTATTCGGTTAGTTTAAAACAGGGTTTGCTGTGTGTAGTAATGGCTCTTCCAGTCACCAAGCGTTTCCGAGTGTTGGACAAAATCACTTCAGGAGCTTTAGAGGAAGTGAGCTTTTGAAATTGGCAGACCAGCTGGAGTTGGGGTTCCTTTTGTCTGTGTGAAAAGGGGAGGCAAATACAGCAATACCTCGGCATTTACAATTTCTGGAATTGCCATTGGAATCTTTGGAAATGGCTAAAATTCAGTAGCAAATGGAACAGCTTGTATTCGAAGCAAAAGAGAGGGAAAGAATAGCCCTAAAAGAAGAAAAAGAAAAGGAAAGAATAGTCGTAGCAGAAGGAGAGAGAGTTTGAACTTCCGAAGTTGGCAATTGGAGAGGAAAGTCGACTTACAAGGGCAAACATGAAGGTAAAAGATAAGCTTAGTGAGAAGGATAGTGATGATGAGCAAACCCACTGTAGCCAATGGCCCAGTTGGGATCAGCAATGCTTAAGTTCAATGAGAAGCTGTAGAAGCCTTTTCGTTTCATTTGAGAAAGTGGCTAAATGAATGAAATGGCCAGTGAACATGTGGGCTTTGTTGAGCCAAACAAAGTTGTAGGTCGAGCTAGTGAGGTGTTTGCATGACTATCAGAGGAGGTAACTGGGGAGTATGAGGAGGTGAAGGAAGCCAGATGTGCAGATGAACCAGTGACAGAAGCCTACTGGCAATGTCTCAGGAATCTCAGGAGGGACCCTGGTCAAACATACATTGAGTTTGAAAGGATCAAACAAAGTAATTTTGATAGGCTGATAAGGGCATTAAAAATAGGTCAAACACATGACAATCTTAGAGAGACGATTGTTTTGGAGGAGTTCAAAAATTCATTTGCTGAGTAAGTGAGAACTTATGTGGTATGGCACAGAGTTAAAACAGCATGATTAGCAGCAGAAATGGCAGATGATTATGAGTTGATTCATCATTCAAATTTGGCTTCTGACATCAATTTCAGTCTGTGAGGGACAGAAATTGGGGAAAAGAGAAATCCTCGGGTGGTAAGCGAAATGGAGATCTCATTGAAGATAGTGAAGATGGTTTACCACAGGGTAAAAAGGGAACCCATGAGAGGGAAAGAGAAATGAAAAACCTCAGGTGTTTTCACTGCAATAAACTAGGCCACATGAAGTCACAGTAGTGGTGGTTCAGAAAAAGCACTGGGAAGACGGATGTGGGGAAAACAGGATAAGCCAGTGAATTTTGTTAAAGTGGTAAGGGAAAGCACAGTGGAAGTTAAAAAGCTGCTGCAGAATGTACAACCTGATCAGGAGTTGGGTGAGGAGAAAGTGCCACATTTCCTTCAAGAATTTACTTGCGAGGTTAAGGTTCACTCATATTTGCCAGAAGGAGCAGGTAAAGAAATAGGGGAGCATGGCAATCTTTGATGGTGAGTGATGAGGAGATACTTAATTCAGAAGGACTGTTGCCAGAAACAGTGGTAATAAGTGGAATCCATGGTGAGAAGAGAAATGTTCCATTATATAGAGTGAGGTTGGAGCGTCCGGTGAAGTGTGGGGAAGTGGTTGAAAGGAACTGGAGAAATTCTCGGCTCCAAGAATAAAATTTGTCCTTGCTAATGACACAGCTGGATTACAGGTGGGATTGATGCCTACTGTGGTTGAAAAGCCAGTGGAAAGTCAGGAAACTGAGGTATTATGGGGAATATACCCTGGGATTTTTCCTGATTGTGTAACAACTAGTTCACAAAGGTACAGGTTGAAGCAGGGGGAGAGATCAAAGAAGAAAGATAAGGAAGTTGAGATACAATTGTCAGACACCATGTTAGATCAAATGGTTGAGAAAAATAAGAAAAGGTAGAGAACAAAGTCGGTATTTTTAGTTCAGAGCAATTAACTGAATGAGAAGAGGAGGAAGAAAACATAAAGCAACTGCATTGAAAAGATACACCAAAGTATATGAGTGTATCTCAGAATGTTACTATCTTAAAAATGATGCCTTAATGAGGAAATGGAGACCATCACATATTCAGGAGGATGAGAAATGGGCAGAAGTTCATCATGTTCTATTACTGGTGGTTTATACAATGGAGGTGTTGTGGGTAGCACATGAATTACCATTAAGAGGTTAGTTGTGGTTAAGGAAAACTCAAGCCAAAATACAAAAATATTTTTCTTGGCCCGGACTGTGTAAGGTTGTGGCTGAATTTTGCCTGACATGTCATACATGAGATGATGTTGGAGACAGTAGCACCCAGCCCTGCCGACTCTTAACCATCCCCCCAGACCTTCCTCTCACTGAGGATGAGCGGTCAGTCCTCAGTAAAGGGCTCACCTTTTTCCCCCTCCACCCACACATCAACGAATACCACTCACGCTTGGACATTGAACAATTTTTCTGCTGCCTCTGCCTCTGTGCTTACTTCTTTAACCGTAATCTGACCCTCTCTCGACTGACCCCTTCCGCTGCCTCCAACACACGCCCTCCTCCTGGACACCACCTCAAGGCCTCCTACCCTCCCTCGACCTCTTCATCTCCAACTGCCATCGCGACATCAATCGCCTCAACTTCTCCACCCTTCTCACCCACTCCAACCTCTCCCCAACAGAATGTGCAGCCCTCCACTCCATCCGTTCCAATTCCAACCTCACCATAAAACCCGCGGACAAGGGAGGCGCAGTTGTAGTATGGCGCACTGATCTCTACATCGCCGAGGCCAGGCACCAACTCTCCGACACCTCCCCCTACCACCCCCTTCATCATGACCCCACCCCCGACCACCAAATCATCATCTCCCAAACCATCCACAACCTCATCACCTCAGGTGACCTCCCATCCGCAACCTCCAATCTCATCGTTCCCCAACCCTGCACCGCCTGTTTCTATCTCCTTCCCAAAATCCACAAACCTGACTGCCCTGGTCAACCCATTATCTCCGCCTGCTCCTGCCCCACCAAACTTATCTCCACTTATCTCGACTCCATTTTCTCCCCCTTGGTCCAGGAACTGTCCACCTACGTCAGTGACACCACCCACGCCCTCACCTCCTTCAAAACTTCCAATTCCCCGGTCCCCAACATCTCATCTTTACCATGGACGTCCAGTCCCTATACACCTGGATTGCCCATACAGATGGCCTAGAGGCCCTCCACTTCTTCCTGTCCCGCAGGCCCGACCAGTCCCCCTCCACTGACACCCTCATCCGCTTAGCCGAACTCGTCCTCACTCTCAACAACTTCTCTTTCAATTCCTCCCACTTCCTACAGACAAAGGAGGTGGCAATGGGTACCCGCATGGGCCCAAGTTATGCCTGCATCTTTGTAGGATACGTGGAATAATCCCTCTTCCATACCTACAATGGCCCTAAACCCCACCTCTTCCTCCGTTACACTGATGACTGTATCGGCGTCACGTCATGCTCCCACGAGGAGCTCGAGCAGTTCATCCATTTCACTAACACCTTCCATCCCAACCTACAGTTCACCTGGACCATCTCTGATACCTCTCTCTCCTTCTTGGACCTTTCTGTTTCCATCTCTGGCAACCACCTGGAAACCGATATCCATTTCAAGCCCACCAACTCCCACAGCTACCTCGAATATGCCTCCCCTCACCCACCTTCCTGCAAAAATGCCATCCCCTATTCCCAATTCTTTTGCCTCCACCGCATCTGCTCCCGAGATGAGGCATTCCACTCCC